TTATAATGTTACAGTGTTCTTTTAATCACAAGGTATTGGAAAAAAAAATGTTAATTTACCAAATAAAGAGAGAGAGAACTAAAACGGAATTAAGAAGGTTATAATGAACTATTTCATCACTTTACATACATCACACTTCATACATAAAAAAATAAATTATATTCCAGAGGAAAAAAAGTAGATTTATAGAATTAAACATAGCCTGGACTCCTTGTGCCCATTACTTTTTTTTCATACAAAAAAGCTTTGGAATCTTAATAAGAGGGGCTTAAGGTCATAATAATTCAACTTGTCCAACGTATGCCAGAGAGCTGAAGTGTTTGTAATTACATTGCTTCTGAAATCGATGTTAATCAAGAAATTACAACAACAAGGAACAATGTCCTAACAATAAGAAATAATAGCAGTCATAGAGCTTAAATAGAAACTTTCACAAAAAATTGTAACTAAAAAAGTGTTTGTATGTTGTTTATAAAAGGGACACTCTGATCCCCTAATGCAGTTCAGCAGGTGTTAACATCATGAAAGTGAAGGCTTATATAATAAAAGTGTTGATTTCAAGATAAAACAGCACTTTCATAAAGTTCCTTAGTAGCACTATACTTCAAAGACAAAGTGTTTTTCATAGAGCAGCGTTGGTTTCAAAGCAACTCTATGAGAAGTATTGTTAATGTGCTCCAAAGCCGTAACTTCACAGAAGGTAAATCAGAGCTGCATTGGTGAGACTCTTCTAGAGCTTGAATAAAGGTGAGTTAAATTGATTTTAACCCTTACAGTGCTGAAATGGGAGAACCGGGTAATCTAAGGCGTTTAAAATAGCTGTCACCTTCTGGAGGCTTTGCATAATTTGCAAAGACCCCAGATAGTGAAATGGCTGCTTGGTGTTAAGTGACCTGAAGATGCAGGAGAAGGTAGATCTGTCTGGTGGATCCTCTGCCAAGAGCTCACAAGAATACAACACAAATTTCTAGTGAGAATCCCACAAGATAAAAAGTCTTTTTCCTCAAAGATGTCACTAGTGATGACTGGGGTAACTGAAAAAAATTTGATATCGGTAGTTCTGCCTTTTGTTGAATTTTGTCAAGCAGAGGGAAAATACATAAGACAAAGTAGTGGCTAATTTGCCTTATTAGCACTCTCACCTCACACTCAGTCCCTCCTGCCTTGGCCTCTTCAGTTCCTCTCAAAGTCAGGTATTGACATCTCTACTTGCACTGCTTCCAAATACTGCCTTTACAAAGACACTTTTGACTCGTAAGCCTAGCTCTTTCTTAACACGTCTCTGGGATCAGGGAACAGTGCACCCAGCTAACAGGTCTGAAAACTCTGATACTGGAATCCCAAAACAACCAGACAGAACACACAGTTCCCAATGGAGCTAACACACAATGCTTTATTTTCACTCAGGATTAGCTCCTATTCACATTACATTACACGTATGGCAACATATTCAATCTAATATATTTTAAAAACATCTTATGGAGAATCATACAGTCACTGATAATAATACAATACAATATTCATAAAGGAATAGGGAAGACTAACAGAAATATAATTTATGTGAATATGCAAATTTGCTAGCTTGTCATTCAGGTAGTGCACATATATGTTGCAACCAACAGGTGGTGCTGCATAGGCTCACAAGATCGTTCATAAGCGACAGGTGACACTGAAAACACCAGCAAGATAGGAGAACACACAAGACATTAAACAAATTACATTACCATAATATACACCCTGCACCTATAATGGGCACATGGTGACTTAAACATAAAAGTCATCCGGGGACCTACATTAATTCTCAGTCTTATGTTCCCAGTGATGGTGAGTACCATCACAGTCTCCTTTATTCAGCATTATTAAGAAAATTTGAGTAGGGATACTTGATCGAGCTGACTTACCATGCAGCCAGTATAGAGTAGTTAGAAGTAGAGTCTTCTACATTAAGTAAGGATCTGGAATAATGTGGCTACTTTAAAGGGATGCTACAGACATCAAAACAACTTTAGCTTAATGAAGCAGTTTTGGTGTATAGATCCAGGGCCGGACTGGGAAATAAATTCGTCCCGGGCATTTTTTTATCACAGCGGCCCACTAAGAAGGGGGCGGGGCAGAGTGGTTGTTGGTTCAATGCTCTTCCAGGGCAGACAATGCACAGAGCTCTGCTGAAGAGCTCTAGCATGAGAAAAAAGCCCTGTATTTGTTCTGCACAGTGCAAGCAAATTTAATAACATGCTTGCACTGTGTTTCCTTGCAACTTGTCTCTGGTGTCTCTATAAATGGATACCAGGAGACAAAAGGGCCAGAAAAGAGTATTGTGCATGTGTTTGGAACCTGCTTGTGGGATTGCATGTGTGTAGAGTGAGCTGATTGTGATGAGGTATTGTATAATTAGGTCGGTTTTAGTCGTGTTGTGTTTGTGGTGTAATGTAATGCATATGTGGCTATGGGCTGTAGAGAATGTGTGTATAGGGGATGTAGCAAGTGTGTGCATACAGGCTATAGTGTGTGTGTGTGTATGTAGGTGATGTAGTGTTTGTAGAAAGTGTGTGTTTAGGGGTGTGGTATGTGTTTGCTTACAAAGAATCTAGTGTGTGTATAAGGATCCAGAGTGTGTATGTTAGGAGTGTAGTGTGTGTGTGTGTATATATATCTTATGTCTGTCTAGTGTTTGTTTGAAGGACCCAGAATGTGTAGGAGATCTAGTGAGTGTGCGTATATAACGGATTCAGAGTGTATATAGGGATCTAGTGTGTGTTTGTGTATGTGTGTGGTGCAGTGTGTTGTGGGGGTTCAGTGTGTATGTGAAGGGTGCAGTATGTGTGTGTGAGGGTGCTGTGTGTGATGTGTGTGAGGGTGCTGAATGTGAAGTGTGTGAGTGCAGTGTGTGTGATGTGTGTGAGAGTGCTGTGTGTGATGTGTGTGAGAGTGCTGTGTGTGAGAGTGCTCTGTATGCTGTGTGTGAGAGTGCTGTGTATGATGTGTGTCAGAGTGCTGAGTATGATGTGTGTGAGAGTGCTGAGTGTGTGAGAGTGCTGTGTGTGAGGTGTGTGAGAGTGCTGTGTATGATGTGTGTGAGAGTGCTGTGTGTGAGGTGTGTGAGAGTGCTGTGTGTGATATGTGTGAGGGTGCTGCGTGTGATGTGTGTGAGAGTGCTGTGTATGAGATTTGTGAGAGTGCTGTGTATGATGTGTGTGAGAGTGCTGAGTATGAGGTGTGTGAGAGTGCTGAGTATGAGGTGTGTGAGAGTGCTGTGTATAAATGTTAGAATGGATTGTGTGTTGGGCGGGGGTAAATAAACAAACAAAAAAATAAGCAGGCATTATGTACTTCTTACCTTTAACCTGGGAGGGGGGGATCGGCACGGTGGTACAAGGAGAGAGAGGAGGGGGAGACCGGCACTCGCAGTCACACACTATCCCTGGTGGTCCTAGTGAGTGAACTCTAGCCATGGCAACGCTCCGGATCTCACGAGAGGAACCCTGCGGAGTTGCAAGATAGAGCTCCGCTGGGTCCTCCTCTCCCTCCCCAGCCGCATGTCTGTGCAAGTGGGCCGGTGAGGGAGATCTTTGATCTCCCCACCAGTTCTTCATGGAAAACAGCGGGGCCTGCGCTCGGATAGTGCCGGTCCTGCATAGACCTGCAGGGGAGATACTGTGACCTTACCCTGCATTTTCCCGGTGTGCCAGATGGCCAGTCCAGGCCTGTATAGATCAGTCCCACTGCTTAATTTTTTGCCATTTAGGAGGTAACTCACTTTATTTATGCAGTTCTAGCCATGCCTCCCTACATATATCAAACACAGCCTTCCTAAACACTTCCTATAAAGTGAGATCGGATGTTTGAATTTCCATTATTGCGTATTCTGTTTAATTTAGAATGTATCTCCTGCTCGGTTAATAACCTTCTAGAAACTGTAGGAGCATCCTATTTGTGATTAAAGATCACTTTACAAAGCAAGAGATACAAACTTTTAAAGTAAGTTATGATCTGCCTAAAAAACAATTTTTTTATTTTAATTTTATATTTTTGCAGCGCATAGTAAAGTTACAGACAGGCCTGAGGTACCCCAACGGCAATCCTCTGGCATTCTCTCACACGATGCTTGTAGGGCATATGAGAAAACATGCACACTTTTATGATATAGGCAGGAAATAGAAACATGAAGGTATCAGGCTAAGTGACTAGGAGCTATGTTACTATAAACATGAAAGTATAGGCAGGAGAGATAGGCAGGAAAGTAACACAGGCTTAAGTGTGTCTCTTTAGGTTAATTAAGTGAGTTCTTGTCATTGCTTCGTAGACCCAGGTTGATCGCTACCGTGTAGGCCCCTTGGGTTGGGTTAAGCAGTCATCCGACACCCCTACGGGGGTTACTTCTCATGTTTGGACTCAGTCCTGTTAGGGGAGTAGTATAGCCTTGCAGATGTGGCACAACCCTGCTGCCCTGGTGCCCTGGGAGAGCCTGTACCCTCTGGTCACGAACCTGGGATCTGTTGTGGTCCAACTGGTGGGATGGTGCGGTGGGTTCTGCGGTTGTTCTCTGTGTGTCATCGCTTGTGCCTTGTGGCCCTCCACGTATGTAGCCGGTACCTGCGGGTCATGACTCTGTTTGCTCTCAGCCCAGGTGGACATCTTGTGTGGATGTCTGAGGTGGGGGACAACGTTGCACCCTTGAGAGGTTTCCCACGCCTCCTCCCTCTGTGGACTTGGTCCCTTTTTGTCAGTTAAGGAGTAGTCAGAGCCTGCCCTGTGCGAGCCAGCAGGTTAGCCCAGAAGAGTTCAAAACTATCGTGAGGAGTGTCTCTTACTGTGTTGCGGGGGCTTGACAGTTCAAGTTGCTGCATCTGCATGCCACGTGGGTCAGGGTCTTATGTGTCCACCATTTTGGAGATCTCCGCTCCCGTGTAGCTTGTGAGCCTCCGAGAGGTATGGGGCATGGACTACTCCATCCGGCGGGGACCGTGATATCCCCCAATAGTCCACGGGGGAGGAGGTTTCTTGTGCTCATGTGTGGCTTGGAGCAGCAGCGTGTGGATTGGAGCAGCCTTTCCCCTTCACCTTCCCCAGTAGGCCTCAACCTGCTGCTGCAGTTCCCGGTCGATCTGGGTGTCGAGCGTGGTATCTTTAGGTTTGTGCGGGCTTCCCCAATCCGCACAGCTTTGTGTGGAGAGGTTTCCAGCCCTATAGCCTGAGATATCATCACAGATAGAGCCTGTAAAGCAGGAGCTCATGCGAGACGCGTCTTGTTCGCTCGCTGGTCAGGCTCCGCCCCCCGAAAACCATTTTTTATATATATGTGTGAGTCACAGCCATGGGAGGTGTGGCTAGGACTGCATGAACAGAATCAAAAGTTTTTTAACTCCTAAATGACAGAGAATCGAGCAGTGCGATTGCAGGGGAATGATCTATACACCAAAACTGCTTCATTAAGCTAAAGTTGATTTGATAACTAAAGTATCCATGTAATGCAGTGGAGCATTGGCATGGTATAACCATAATATGTGCCAAATCTCCATTTTAGTTCTTATCTATAGAAGATCTATCTATATCATTACAGAGATTTTATATGTAGTCATCTGGTCCAAAATGTATTCTGTTAGTTTTATGAGGTTTCTTTAGCTTTTCATAAATAGACATTCTTTTTAAGTATAGTGTCACTACTACTATATACAGTTTAACAATAGCTTCAAAGGAAAAATAGACAGACACCTTTATGAAAATTAAACAACAGCAATGTTAATGTCCTTGAGGGCAAATTTGAGAATGTGCACACAGTGATAATTGTCAGTAAATATCCAATATACTAACTAACTGTTTTTATGATTGTATAAAAGGTGGTCCCTGAGGAAGTTTCCATAGAAACGAAACGCGTAGGACCGGTGATATACCACCAATTTTAAAATATTTATTTTATTCAATTTATTTGTAATAAATAATTTTTTACCTACCTACCTTATTCCTGATTTGGATCCAAAAGCACCATTCTGACTGAGAAACCTGACCTCCCCTGGGGGGAAGGCAACCTTAATGCGTTCTTTTCATCTGGAGTCTGTGAGTTCCATATAAAGGGGGGGCACTGCAAACCTCCAACAGTGTTGCACTATTATTTGTTATTTTTTTTGTTTTAGACACCCAGCTGTATCCCATTTTCTGTATATTTTTATATCTGTGTGAGGTCACCATCAGGGAAGGGACCTTGGGAAGCTGTACTACTAAGTTAAGTAGGTTTTTCCATATACTGTCACTTTGGGGTGTATTGGACACGTTTTGTACTAACTAAATCAGAATAGAACAATTAACTAAAGACTTTGCAATGTTTATTAGATAATTCTATGAATAACAAAGCTTTATAGCATTCAAAGTTAATATACGTCTTGGTGCCTTTGATTACTTTGGGGTTCAGACTTTTACACTACTAGGACAAGTGTAAAAGAAGAGAGCAATTGCACTATATATATATATATATATATACACACACACACACAGTGTATGGAAGATTTTTTTTTTTTAAATGTAATATTTATATATTTATTTCTATTTTATTTCTATTTTACAAGCTCTCCATGACAAACATTAACAGAATCCCCCACTTAAATTCCATGAGATCAGAACCATTTTAACTATAAAATGTTGGTATTGCTTTTACTGCTAAGGGCTAAGGTATCATGCCACATATTTTTATTATAGGCAGAGGCTAATCTCCACAATTTAATTGACAGAAAATTGCTAATTTTAAGGTTTTCATATCTCTTTAAAATATTAATTTCTAAACATTAGTCATACATTTTGGAGCTGAAAAGGTTTATGTTTCATCTTTTTAAAGTCTTTCGCAGGATGTATTAGTTACTGTTGCTAAACCTGAGGGCAAGTACACAACAAGTGATTCCAGGCAGAATGTTGCAGATAAAACTTATCACACAACCGCTCAACTAGACCAGAACAGGAAATTAGATTTTGCTTGGACACAGTGCTGATTTGACACCAGTTTAGCAATTCTTGATTAGTTCTGGGTTTCTGCTGAGTCCGGTTGCAGGACACGGGGTAGTTGCAAAAAACTCAAGTTACTTTCCAATTTCTATATAAAATGATCAGATTGTTTCTGCACTATATGTATTATTATTATTATGATATTTATAGAGCGCCGTCAAATTCCGCAGCGCTTTACAATGGGTGGACGAACAGACATATAGTTGTAACCAGACAAGATGGACACACAGGAACAGAGGGGTTGAGGGTCCTGCTCAATGAGCTTACATGCTAGAGGGAGTGGGGTAAAATGACACAAAAAGGTAAGGATAGCATTAGATTAGTGACAGTTGCAGAAGAGGAATCAGTCAGGAGCTATTAACAGTTTAATTGATACGCTTTTATGAAGAAGTGGGTTTTTAACGATTTTTTGAAGGAGTGGAGACTGGGTGAGCATCTAACGGAGGAGGGAAGCGAGTTCCACAGGAACGGTGCAGCCCTTGAGAAATCTACTAATGTACTGAATAGACCGTTTATAATAATATACTTGAGAAGAATTATTTAATATAATGGAGATACAAAATCACCATCTCCCACTGGCATTTTCAGTGTAGCTACTGTATGCACTTAAACCCCTTTGTCATAAATGTTTTGTATGTATTTATAAAAATCTTAATATATACTATTTCAGCTTTAGTAGAGATCAGAATTGGATGGATTCAAATTACTAGAGCAAGCTGCCTAAATGTTCCTAGAGTAAAATTAAATCTAAATATGTATAATGTACTTTGAAGAAAAACCTTTAAATGTCATGGTGAAGTCATCTAAAATGTGTTCTTGTACTTTTTGCTCTAAATTGGTCCATTTATACAGTTTTGTGGAATAAAAGTCCAATAGTTTACTTTTCCTTTTGTGCATCTGTTTTACTTAAACAAAATGTATGAGTGGATTGTGCGTATTCTCTTATTATGTTGTGTATAACTTGATCTTTTTTAAATGTTTAGAAAATGTACTTTGTTCTTTGCCAAAGATGCCAAACTTTCAGCACTCCTGATGTTATGGATTTCCCATAAACCTCTTACTGCCAATGCTGACAAAGCATCAGGGGAGATGTAGTCCACAGCATCTGGAGTGATGAAGGTTGCCTACCTCTGACTTAGTGCCACATTGGGTCATATTATCGTATACTACCCCTAAGGACAAGCGAACATACAGATGTGCTCCATGGCCATTCCATGATCCTGAATAGAGAATTAGTATGGGATAAGTTGCATTCATTTAGGGGAACTGTCTAAAGTTGGTGGGTATTAACTAAGGACTGGAATTTTTTGTATTTGAGGCAAAAAAAATGAATTGTAGAATTTGATCTGTGACAAATCCCAATGAATTTTGTGAAAATTTAGACTTTTATATTGGATTTGAATGAGATGGTGGGTGTAATGAGCTATTAAAAAGTGTCAGGAACTACCTGGCTACTTACTAGCGACCACACACCTACACTCATGTGGGCACCAAGGCCTGATTCTGAGTTACTCGTGGCTGGACTTGCAGGGCATCGGTTATACTCAAAGCTGAGCAGTTGCATTCTCTCAGACGTGGTGTCCCAGCATTCTACGTTAAGCAAGACTCTTGTGTTTCTTGTATGTGGGACTTATGGCTAGCCTGCTCAAGGGGCCTCCTGGAGGTACTTTCCCTAACAGTGATCTCTGTGCATTCCACTTACTTATTTGCATATCTTATGTTCTCCCTAATATGCACTGTGTTGTTTCTTCTCTTTACCTTCTTATATTTCTTTAATAGTGCAGTATACCTAGCGTTTTATGTTCCACCAACTATGCTTGACTTATATGTCTTTGCAAACATGTTATTATATGATTGTCTGTTAACCCCTGCACGCCAAAAATAAACAATGGCAAAAAGTGGAAACAAAAAAAGTGTCAGGAAAAAAGGGGGGTTAAAAAATGAGCGGCGGGTAGGGACCCTAATTAATTAAAGGGGGGCCTAATGTCCCCCTGGTCTCCACCTATGAGTGGCGGGTGGGGACCCTAATTAATTAAAGGGGGGACCTAATGTCCCCCCTGGTCCCAACCCATGAGCGGTGGGTGGGGACCCTAAATAAATAGATAATGGGGGACCTTATGTCCCCTCCAGGTCCCCACCCATGAGCGGCGATTGAGGACCCTAATTAATTTAAGAGGGGAATCTAAGGTCCCCCCTGGTCCCCACCCATGAGCGGTGGGTGGGGACCCTAAATAAATAAATTATGGGGGGACCTAATGTCCCCCTCAGGTCCCCACCCATGAGTGGCGGGTGGGGAAATTTAATTAATTAAAGAGGAGACCTAATGTACCCCCAGGTCCCCACCTATAAGTGGTTGGTGGGGACCCTAAATAAATAATGGGGGAGACCTAATGTCCCCCACCCCCAGTTCCCCACTCATGAGCGACAGGTGGGGACCCTAAGTAAATAAATAATGAGGAGGACCTAATGTCCCCCCAGGTCCCCACCCATGAGTGGCGGGTGGCTACTTTAATTAATTAAAGGGGTGAACTAATGTCCCCCCTGGTCCCCATCTATTTGTGGCGGGTGGGGACCCTAAATAAATAAATAATGGTGGGGACCTAATGTCCCCCCCAGGTCCCCATTCATGAGCGGTGGATGGGGACCGTAATTAAATAAATAATGGGGGGACCTAATGTCCCCCCCAAGTCCCCATCCATGAGTGGTGGGGGGGACTTTAATTAATTAAAGGGGGGATCTAATGCCCCCCTGGTCCCCACCCATAAGAAGCAGGTGAGGACCCAAAATAAATAAATAAATAATGTCCCCCAGGACCCCACCCATAAGCAGTGGGTGGGGACTTTAATTAATTAAAGGAGGGACCTAATGTCCCCCCTCATCCCCACCTATGAGATGCGGGTGGGGACCCTAAATAAATAAATAATGGGGGAACCATGAGCGGCAGGTGTGGACCCTAGTTAATTAAAAGGGGGGCCTAAAGTCCCCCTGAGGTCCCCACCCATGAGTGGCAGGTGGGGACTTTAATTAATTAAAGGGGGGACCTAATGTCCCCCCTGGTCCCCACCTATGAGTGTTGGGTGGGGACCCTAAATAAATAATGGGTGAGACCTAATGCCCCCCCAGGTCCCCACTCATGAGCGGCGGGTGGGGACCCAAATTAAATAAATAATGGGGGGGACCTAATGTCCCCACAGGGTCCCCACCCAGGAGCGGCGGGTAGGG